TAACTTCTTATTTTCTTGGTAATAACTTTAAATCATATTGTTAAACGTGTCCCAAAATTTCTCAACAATTTACCTTACACTGGGAAAGTTCATGGAACATTACATTGTTAGAAAGGGAAATTAATGGAGAAGACAAGAATAGCAAACAATCCATGTTCATGGTTAAAATAAATATAATTATCAGTAATACATGTTTTTCCCCAAAATTACATAAAAATTAGCTTTTCAGGCAATACAGCTTATATGTTACTTTTATGTAAAAATACAGAAGAAAAACTTAAAAGTACTCTGATGAAAGCTTTGTAAAAAAAATCATTATTCTGTCACAGTAAAAAATATTTTATGAAATCATGAAAGAACATAATGGTTAAAGCAGATAAATAGCACTTAAATGTAGTTTTTTTAAACTATTATGATGCTGGTTATCAATCATCTATAACTCTCAAAAGGTGGAACTTAAAAAAACTGCACATTGGCACTATAAAACTGTATATTTGTGATATATAACACAACTGGTAATGTTGTATTGCTTTAAAACTCAAATAAAATAATATCATGTATTCTACAAAAGAGCTCAAATTAATTAATCACATTTTCAAGTCTGCTGGTGGTTAATTTGAAATGTACACCATACTGTATTAAAAAAAACATTTTTGATACAAGCCAAATGAAAATAAGTTATTGGTAATTTAGTGTTTTTATTGCAACACAGAAAATGAATTGATACAATATATCACGTATTTTCCAGTAAACATTAATTCAACAGAATTATATATACTTTCATTATATATATATATATTTTCAATGTGATTTTTGCATTAACATATTTTGGTTTTTAATAAACTTTCAGGTAAATAGATAAATAATCTTACACTTATTAATCAATAGTTTTTATCATTTGAAAGTCTTTACTGGTGTTTGGGGGGAAAAAGGTACTTGGGTGTTAACTGAGGATATGTTGTTTTAAGAATCAAAATCATGCAAAGGCATATCTTTCATTTCCTTGAAAGTATTTATATTAACTCCTGCATTAATATTACTCCTTGTTTTTAAAATAATAACTACATCAAAGAACTAGAATGTTTCAGCTTTCAAACATTTCATATAGGTTAGGTTTTAAACATAAGACAATTTCAGTGAATAATTATAACAATAGTATACAAGAATGAATGATGTTTTATCCTTTTACTTTTGTAAATTTATGTATAAATGCTATAAGTCTTTATCATATTAATGTTGTTTTCATGTTTAGACACCCTTATGTCTAGGCCTTTTTTTTGGTAATAAAAACAATTGTTGTACAACTATGATTAATATAACATACAAGCATAAATTTTTTTTAACCAAACATTATATACAAATCAAAACACTTTTCATGTCAATCTATTATCTACATAAATTAATTTCTATTAGGCCACTGCAATTAAACATTCAATGCCACTATGTATTTGTTATAGAATGTAAATTAAATTTATATTATGAAACTTGTATAAAAAGAATTTATATATCATAAGATTTGGAAGAAATATTTATCTGTCAGATAATTTAAACTATTACACAAACAATAATATTACTTTGAAGGATAAGAAATTCAAGATATGCAACAGATACTGAACATAAAGTGATTTACCCTTAAAAGTATTCCCACAATTTGACAAATACTTGCCCTTAATCTTTCTTGGTGGATTCTTTTAACAAACTGGCACCAATAGACTCATAAGTCACAAAAATGATTTCAAATAAAATGTGCTCCTTGCATCCCCAAGTTTTATCTAAAAATTAGCCATATACACAGAATATGTCTGTTAGCTTGTGCTTCTCATATTGTGTCCTTGGGTTGAAAAACCTGATCAAGTTACATTGGTGCAACAGGAAGAGGAGAATGTGTTTATACTGTTTCCTCATAATTATGCTTGTGCACTTTCTCCATCATTTGAATAATTCTGTGCCATTATTAACTGTTTTATTTTGGTCTCTCAATTTTTCTTTCCTCAAACTGATTACGAATTGCAGTATTTTTACCTTGGAACTACCATCACCCCTACCTCTTGGTTTTTATCATGTCCAGCAGGAACCTGGTTAGCTTCATCATCTTCATTATTTTGTAACTGTAGTGAAAGAAAATTCAAAGAAATAAATTGGTCAAGTAACTTCAAAATATCAAGTAAATCCTGTGAAGACTTAACAGTTGCAAAAATAAAATTCTGTCTCACATGAAGGTTGTCAAGTCCATATTAAATTGAATAATATTTTGTTAGCTAAATGTTTTATTTTACTGATCAGAAGTTCATATTTTAAATGATAAATCTCTAATCTAAAGTTAATAAAACATATATCTAAGTATAAACAGAGCAGACACAGAAAGAAAGTTATTCATTTACTTATTTATAAACATGCTAGAAGAGTTTAGCACCAGCCAAAGCATAGGATCTCCTCCCTCCATTTGTTTGACATAAAAATGATATTTTCACATATTTTTACAATAAAAGAATGGGATCAAAATAATTTTCATTTGTACAAAAGAGTTCACTCATGAGGTTTCTTTTTAGCAAAATCTCCACATCCACAAAAGAAAATATTACAATTTTTTGGTGTTGCTGAAATGAAGATGTAAGAGCAAGAAACAAGTTTATGAACACTTTGGAGTAAACAGTACATACTGTAAGACGTGAATAAACAAATGAAATACAAGTTTTTTGTTCTTTACCATTACTTTTTAGAAGTTAGCACAAGTACTCTAACAACCAGACTATGCTAGACCTACACATATGTAAATATCTAGGCAAATAGAGGCTGCCTAAAAATATCTGGTCCATCTATTAAAAATAGTGTTTTAATTCATGCTTTATAACATTATTTTTGTGCCTTAGTTTCACACACTAATACATTTGTGAAAACAAAATTATGCATCTTACATCATCAAATTTAACACACATCCATAAACAACTTGTTCAGAAACCCTTATATGGCCTGTAACTACTTGTAGGATTTCACAGAACAAAATTATGACTGTCAAAAGGTGCAGTAATATGAAACATAAGCATGAATATTCAGTTTAAACAACTATAAAAATCATGTAAAAACAAACTGTAATAAAATAATTTCAGGATATGTAAATGCAAGCATATGTCAAGTCAATTTTAATAGTGGTTTTACAATGACACAAGATAACTGTTTTACATAAGAAGTGATTTATGTAATTACAGTGATGATGTTGTGTTTAAAAGTTGCAATACTGATTTTGACAATGTGTCGTTCATTAAAAAAAGAAAGTATAAATAACTGATGTAGCTTTCACTGCATGAAAATCAGATGATAAAATAGAATATATAACTAAATGACATACAGAAACATAGATGGTTCAATACTTACAAGTAATTTATTAATGATATTGAACGTTTATTCATAATAAACAAAATAATAATAATAATTATTGTGTCTTTTCCATCTTACAATTCTTAAGAAACAATTTTTCAGTTGAGAAGGAGGATGTCTTTGCTTTAAGATTTTTTTATTTTAAATAAATGAATCTCAACATTATTAAAATCTGTATTGGTACAAATTGGAATTATAAGTAGCTTTCTCCATAATTTTTCAGTTTAAAAGTAGTGTTTCCCAAGCTATAGTTTTTCTTTGAATTAGTTTAAAATATTTACTCTTAGATGTATTCTTGGGCAACCTATTACCCAGGAAAATTTAACAGTAAGAAACTGCTTATTGGAGCAACACTCACATATAAGAAGTTGTTATGTAATATACACCTTTTAAGTAGATGTATTGTTCACAGTACATCTAAAAAAAAAAGAAGAGAAAACAGTCAACCAGACTATTGAGTCTTTCAAGAATGTTGTTTGGTCTGGGACTGTTTAAGACAATGTATCAGCAGAAAGGCATTATTCTTAAAAGCAACTTGTAGTCAATGTTCCCTGAGAAGATACATCTCAAAGCAATTGCTGGTTCAAACAGTGTGTACCAAACATTATTGTTTTTTGAAAAGCAAAGTTTTCCACAGGTTATCTGAAGGTATAAAAGTCCATTGTTTGTTTAAGTACATTCTTGTATAATGTATTATTTATTCTAAATTGGTCACAGGGAATTTTTTTATTTTAACTCTAAAAATGTAATCCAGATCTCAAATGTATTCGCAACACACGCGAGAAATATTGAACACAAAAATGTGCTTACATACACACACACACAATCCAAATTTACTACTACTTCCCATAAACACTCATGCATTTTACTTTTAATACTAAAAGAAAATTACAAATGTAATAACAATAATGCCCATTTGCATATGATAGTAAATCATATTTAACTTTTGATTTTTACAACTGATCACAGATGCAGCAATAAGTTCTACCACGATAACCAATTATTGTATGTAAACAGATAAACATATAATAATTTATTTGCTTAGGATTATGTGTTATAAAGTACAGAATAAAGTTTTGTTGCCATGCTGAAACAAAAAAAACTTTAAAAATTAGTTTATATATAAATACCTAACAACTCTAATAGTTATGTTTAAAATATTACAACTGCAATATAATTTCTTTTTCAAAATATTTGTTAACATTTCTCAAATAAAGTTTAACTTGCTGGAATAGATTTTATATGCCTACAAATTTATGTAACAGCTAGTTTAATTTTGAATTATAAAATACAAGTATAATCTAAATAAGGATATAAAAAAGTATTATTTTTAGTAAGAATTTAGTTTTTGGGGTTTACCTGGTCATCAAAATCAGCATCTTGGAAAACTTTTCCATGCCCAAGTTCATTTTGATTATCAGCTATCAACTGATCATCTTCATTTCCACCATCTAGATCCTGGTCATCACCATCATCTCCCTCTCCTTAAAAAGAATGGTTTATCAAAAATATGGAAACAAAGATATTTATTGTCAACATCATAGGAATTATACTGGGTGTTCTTACAATTTTACATCATTTTTATGTTGTTGAATTAATTTCTGTATCTGTGCTAGTAAGTCCAATCATATCAAATATCTCTGAAGTACAAAACTTAATAATTATTGAGAAAAAATGAGAAACTGTTAAAAAAAGCAAGAAATAAAAGAATATATATACACACACACACATATATATATACATGTATATACACAGATTTATCACTTAATTTACTTTGTACATTATAGTTCTTATTTTTCAATGGCACGGGTTTATTGACCATAAAAGTAATGCACATTCTGTCTACTATGATGATTTTCAAAGTTAAACACATTCTAACTAACAAAAGTTAACATTTTCCTCATTTCAGGATGTATTTCAGATAATACCCTCTTCACACAACAAAGAGCTGTTAGCTTGTGCCACTGCTGTGAAGATTTTTGTGCACGCCACGAGCCTTGAATGCAACTCTTGCCCTTACAAGCATTAATGTGTAGTGGGCCAGTCTATGATGTAATCATCATTAGATTATAGCCCTCCATCAATAGGAGGGGTGGCATATCCTCCTTGCACAGTAATCCAAATGAGCACTAGCATTTGAACAAAGACTTATTCTTGAAGAGGTAAAGTAATTGTTTGTTTGTTTTGAATTTCGCGCAAAGCTACACGAGGGCTATCTGCGCTAGCCATCCCTAATTTAGCAGTGTAAGACTAGAGGGAAGGCAGCTAGTCATCACCACCCACCGCCAACTCTTGGGCTACTCTTTTACCACCGAATAGTGGGATTGACCGTCACATTATAATGCCCCCACGGCTGAAAGGGCGAGCATGTTTGGTGGGATGGGGATGCGAACCCGCGACCCGCAGATTGCGAGTCGAGCGTTCTAACCACCTGGCCATGCCGGGCCGGTAAAGTAATTACACCAAATATGGGAAACTGTACAGAGAAGTGAGCAATCATATATTTTCAGGTAGGAAAAATGTTAGCTCCAAAAATGTTCACTCACATCTCTGAACAACAAAAAGCTAGAATTCCACACTGGGAAAATGATGGAGGGGCTGATGCAAATAAAGAAAGTACAAAGATGAGCTTCTTTCTGAAAACATAGCATCAGAAAGGGAAAATGCATTGAGAATGTCATTCAGGGGAGGAGGTAGACGGTGGGACATTCACTTGGTTGGAAACTGCATCCATCTCAAGCAGGACAAACTCTTTGCCCAACAGTGGTGGTAGAGCAAAATATATTGTCAACAGAACCTTTTGCAGGGTGCTAAAGCATTGTGTAGGTGATCCAAATGTAAGATTGCTCAACCAGCCATTATCTCACAGGCAGTTGGTTGGGCATGAGTTTCTGTGTGACTAGAGCAATATTGGGGGAAATACATGACATGCTTACCAGAATAAATAGATGCAGGGAGAACATATCTCAAGACATGCATCCCAAGAAGAACCCAAGACCCATCTTGCTGGTCTAATCACTGGGAACGGCTTGGTTCATAGTATAGTGGGATTGACTGTACTACACTTCCAGGTACCACCTCAGCCCTGCTTCTCATTAAGGGTTGCATCCACTAAGTCTCATCACAAGGAAGAACTTTCCATATCAACCACTCCAGAAGCTTAGAACTAAGGAAGTATGTGTTTCTCCCTTAATCTACTAGAAGAAGAGAATGGGAGGAAGGAATTTTCATGGAGGAGAATACTGGTAAGGTGCTCAAATTGACCACAAAACATCACATCTACATATGTTAGAGTTTCCTAAAGAAAAAGAACCATTTGTGCAGGAAGAGGAGTCATAAGAGATGGCAGAGTATGCCCTGCAAATGAGTTGAAAAAGACTCCCAAGAGAATCACATAATGAGTGGGGTCAAGACAAAATTGAAGAACTGTACCAGCTAACTCAAACAATATGCCTCCTGAAGTAGAAGAGAGGTCACAACCATGGATGCTTCTTTGAATGAAGCAAGAAGGAGTCAATCATCCATACAGTTGTGGAAATGGAGACCCAATGCATACATCCTCTGTGCAAATGTACTCATGACCTAATTGAAATTGTATAATGATTTACCTAACCTGAAGGGAAGGGCCTTGAACTGAAAAATCGGATTGTCATGGAACAATCAGAGAAAGCAAGGAACAGACAAATTAAAATGTGAAGAAAAGCAACATCAACTTTGGTCTTCTGCAGAATTGGAGAGAATACCTACCTTAGATTGAAAAACCAACCATCTTGAACTAAGAGATGAGAAAAAATTGGTTCAAGGATGAAAGAGCTATGTCAGGTTATCTATCTCCCATCTTCATGGGAGTGACAAAAAACATAGGAATAAAACCCCCAAAAGGAATTAAGAACTTGTTTCTTGGAAGTCATAACATCAAGAGAAGACAACCTCTTCTAGGTCCCAAAGGTACGTGAGATCTGAGGAAGGAGGAAATGGAAAGATAAGTGGAGACAGCAAAAGTCCTAGATCAGTGTGAAAAAGACAAGCAAAGTCTGTGAGAGAGAAACTGTATGGCACATAGAGGAAGAGCCAAGCTCCCACCGGACCAGAACCAAGGAACAGCTCCATGACCAGTGACAACCAGACCTCCAAGAGGGGGGGGGGCATCAAAAAGAAGCAAGAGGACAAAGAATAGGAGAGAGGGTGACCTGACAAGACTCCCAAGGATGAAAAACCTGTTGACATCCCCTGGATTGAGAAAATCAAAAATAAGAAACTAAAGTAAACATAGAAGACTGTTGATGAGCAGCTTCAGTTCAAGTTTCCAAAGTGTAAGGAATTCCTCTAAAGACCTTAATCTCAAAGGATGGGTGCCAAAGAGAATTCTCTGTGATAAGATTGAGGGAGGCAAACATCCAAAAGTGAGGCATCCTGATCAAGCAAAACCCAGAAACAAAGAGATCAAGTTAACTGGGACAGAATGAAAGAAAAAATGAAGGCGAAATGGAGAACAGATAAGTGTCAGTTTCCATAGTAAAGCTGACAGGATCATGATGTTAAACAACAAAGAGAATGTGAAGCATGGACAGATAGTAAGGAAGTTGAGTAGGTAAGGGACAGAAATGATTAGATGGAGAGTAAAAAGAGGTAAAAGAAAGGAAAAAAAAGAGATCTTCAAGTTGAAAGAAAAGACTCAAGTAATGAAAGCTCATGTAATAAGATAGTCTGATATCCAGCAAAAAACAATTGGAAATTGGAGAAAGAAAAAGCAAAAGACAGACACCTGTGTAATCCAAGCAGTGAAGAACTTTGTCAGGAAGATGGAACTAGAAGCAAAAGCTGGTGTGGAAACAACATTAGTGAATTTCATCAAAAGATGGGGCAGGCTCAGCTAAGTAACGGAAGCAAGAGGTTAAGAATACTGGATCTGAGGTCACAATGTAATCAACCATTTGGTGTGCAAGTGTTGAAATCACTGGACATCAGAATGCCTCTAGTCACCATTACAGTATTGGATGGGTCCTGTTGAGGAGTGCCAGAAATGTGGAAACAAGAATGGATAATCCAGATGATGGAAGAAACACTTTTGTTTTTGGTAAGTAAGCAATGGCCTGATATGTTAATATTGCATAGATCTGATAATGACATTAAAGAACACTTAACAACAGGGTTGTAGCTAGGATGATTTGAGTAAAACCAGTTTAGCCCATAGATGATCCAAGTGCCTGTGGCTGCCACCACTGTCCACCCCACCCCCCATCCCCCGGCAAGGGAAAAAAAAAGGTTATTATTTTCATGTTTATCTTTTTAATGTGTTATAATTTTAATGACTTTGAAAATTTGTAAATTTCTTTGTAAAGACCAATAAAACACTCCACATGAGCAGTCACTAGGCAAACACATTATATTGTGAACAAGTCTAAAAAAATAAAGGCAAAGACAAAATTTACTCTAGGCTGAGTTTCATTTTTATTATTGATGTTTCTTTAACAGCAGGTAATTGAAACCAATTAGTCATAATGAGATTCAAAAAAGTTTTTACACAAAAAACATTGAAATACTTTTATATTTCAGAAACAATTTTTTACACACCACATAACCTTTTACTGGAAATAAAACAGGCTTTGTATGGTATCCACTGTGCATGATATTGTCTGCTTTGCCACATTAATTACAAATGAATTAGTGTGGTGTGAACTGTTTGTTCAAGTGCAAGTTTTTCCTGTTGACTTTTCTTCAAAAGTACTTTAGTGCAAAGGTTATTTGCTTCGTAACTATTCAGGAAGTTTGTTTCCAACAAGTTAATTACAAAATAAACTGTACTACATGTTTGACAAGAAATTTTTGATGCTTATGGTGAACTTTTTCTCAGTAATATTTAGTACCAAACAGCAATAGTCACATCACACAGGAGTGCTGGGCAGGCAGAACAAGCTCTGTGCAGCCCCACCACCCATCGTAGCTACAACCCTGCTTAACAAAACCTGTAAACTGGGTTAAAACAATGGGAACTAGTATTGCCAAAGAAATCTTATCACAGACAATGGGATACGTGTTCCAAAATTACAAATTTGAATAAAAGAAAAAAATCAAACTAGAACTAAACTGAATCAAAGTTCTAACTAAAATGTTTAAAATTTGATAGGCTTCTTTTTTCATAATCAAGAAAATTAAAGAAAGAACTGACAGTATATTGGTAATAAAAGATAAAAATAACAAGTGCAAAAATACAGTTAATTTCTAAGATAAAACAAATCTGAACAAGCAGTGCCAAGAAAAGAGTGAGATTTTGTTCAAATTTTAGTGTTTATGGGAATTACTGAGCATGCAAAATGTGTCACCCTCTTATTGGTGGAGGAGGGCTAAAGTTTAATGTTGATTACATAATAGGTTGGCACAATACACATCAATATGATAAGGATGGGAGCTTTATTCAAGGCTTGTGGCATGCTTAAAAATATTCACATCAGTGGAACAAGGTAATATCTCTTTGTTGTGCAGAGGTGAGTAAACATTTCTAAAATATTGTTTTTAGTGTTAAATTTATCAAATGACTTTCCAGCTTTACAATGTTATAAACATAAGCAGAAAAAATAATTTTATATTAACCAGCAGAAGCATCTTAAATTTACATTACTCTTCAGATATAACACAACTGAACATATATGTGACACACATTTTTGGTCATAGTAAAATAGAAAGTTTCATACAACTTTCAATTTTATTTTTTTTAGAGAATTTCAAGTTTAAATTGGAAAACTTCTTACTTCTTCCAAAAATCTTTTGCTTGTATGATATATAAAGCATTTGTTTTGAGAGTAAATAGTGAAAAAAAAGTTTGATTTTTCCATATTTGTAATTTAATTCTTACAAATATGACAAAAAAGAAAACAAATAAAATGATCAAATTAAATTTCTCTGACAATTTGGAGAAGTAAATAAAAGGAGATATTGTACACTTATTTTTTGGTTTCTTATTTTTCAATTTTATTATAATACTTATTTCATATTTCTGTTTTAGGTTAACTGTATGTTTCATGTTATACAGTACTATAGTTTAGGCCCATATTTTTTATTTCCATGTTAACAGATACTGTACACACTTAATGACTGCCAAGCTATTACATAAGCCACATAAAAAGTATTCTTATTAATGATACAAAATATAGTACATAAGATTTATCAAGTGTAATTGTTATTTCTTAGATTATATTCTACTTTTCATAAATATTAAAACTTAAAGACTATGCGCATGAGCTACAACCAGTAAGTTATGGTAGTAAAATCATTCTTTTTACATTGCACAGTAAATTGTTGAAGGCAAATACTTTTGGGCTTAAACTAGATTAAAAAAAATAGATCCTTCGACACAGAATAGGTATCACACAACACAAATCTTTCAACAAAACTGAAATAACTGTTTATTAAAATGAAATGTTCATTAAAGGCTTGTTGGAAAATCAGTTAAAACAATCACAGAAAAAACTAATTGTAGTCAAGAACTTGTTTTGCTACTAACTACATATTATGTAACAGTTTTATTTATGTTTACTATATAGAAAACTGTAATTTTTTTTTTGACATCATACCATTATAATCATAGTCATGGTCGCCATCTTTGTTTCCTTGTGAATTTTGCTTCATATTGGGGATTTTCAGTTTCTCTTTCTGTGATTCATCATTGTTGTATGGTTTTTCAACCAAACCAGCATTCTGACCAAAACCTGCTCTCCATCTGTGACTCAAGTCACCTGGAGGGAACAGATGATCTCTGTTCATGCCTGCTTTTTCCTGAAGATTACTGTCAAGCTTTTCATTATCTTCAGCATTATTTCCTGCCATCTGAGGTGCTGGTTTATGATTGGAAATCAAATCTTTTTCATTAAAATTAAGATTTTGATTCTGGGGTTTTAGTGGAAGAGGTTTAGGGATAACATTGAACTGGTAATCATTGCCAGCTCTGTTGTTACCCACAGGATGTAGTGGGAACATATACTGGTGAGAGAGGTCATTGACTGGAGGAAGATGTGGTGATTCCATCTGCTGTCTATCAGCTCCATTCTTGTGCTAACAGAATGTAGAAGTAAACTGTCATTCATTCAGAAAAGTATTATTTTATACAAGTTTTAGATATGTTTTTTTTTATTAAAACTTAATCTTACGTATGTGTATATATATTTAAGTATCTTTTAATTTCATCTTTTTTGTCTCACATCATTAAACAAATATTTAACTATCTGCATCATCACAGAACTGTATGAGAAACATACATTAATCTGAAACACTGAAAATTTACACAAATATTTCAAATAATTTTGTTCCTCTAGAGATACCCTATATCTTCAAAATTTATATTAGTTGATGCCCTGATCTGTAACACAGAATTTGTTTGTGATTTTATGCTCTAATTATTCTCCCTTTTGCAAAGAAAACAAATCTGTTATGTTAAATAAAAAATGCTTAAACTGCATGAAAATTATCTAAGCATTTTTAAGTCTTTAATAGATTTAACCTATCTTGTCTTCTCATTTCTTACAGTACTCTAAGTATTATCCAAGCTACCTGAGTGCATGCAAGCCAATGTTATCCAGACTAACTGAACATATGCAAGCTAATGTTATCCAGACTAGCTGAGTACATATAGGTTAATGTTATCCAGACTAGCTGAACACATGTAGGTTGATGTTATCCAGATGAAACATGGCAAACTGATCACATAAATAGTACATAACAAAAGTAGTATCCTAATTGGGGCACAATCTTCTTTTACACCCTATCATAAGCCTGATTTTTTAATGACAAAATTATTTGTGATGTATAATATCATTCAGACCAGCTATTCAAAAGTGTTGTGATATTAGATGATCATTTTTAGCCTGATGATATCGAGACTAGGTAATTGCATAAAACTTTTATATCAACTAACATAGCTGGTTACAACAATGTGAAAGAACACCTGAATATACTTGATGTTGCTGAGATACAAATTATCTCATTCCTCCTGTTCTTTCAGTTTGAGAGTACATAACAAAACAGATCATCTCGTACATAAAACATTCAAGCTTCAGTAGACTATGCTTGCACCTTCTTTTGAATATTTAATATCTTAAACTTATAGTAAACTCAATGGTAACACATTTATTGTTACCTATACCTATTATCTCACCTGACCATTGGCTGACTTTTCTAAAGGAGGATTGAATTTTTCTGCCTCAGGTCTAGGCTGTGGAAAATAATGCAAAGGGTTGTGCTCAAATTGCCCACCTCTTACTTGATTATGTTGTTCTTCAGATACTGCAACTCTTGGTCGTTCAAGGACAGCAACATTACCATTAGAGTTGACTTTAGAGTCCCGAACGTCTTCAGCATATTTGTTTGGCAAAAAGAAATTCATTTTTCCAGACTTCCCTGCACCTTGATGAAGAAAATGATCTATACCATAATGAATGTTTTCATTTCTACTGTTCCCAAGAAGACCTAGAGATTGGTCCACCAGTCCTTGATTCTCATGGTGTATTGGCAAGTCCAGGGGTTTGTTGTCTAATTTCTGTTTGGGAAACAAACAACAACAAAAAAAAAGATTAAAATGCAGAAATTCAAATATCATTAACACAATATCAAAGGTAATTACAAGATATATTTGGTATACAGATAATGAAGGTTTCCTATGCAAAATCAATATGCCACATTAAAAATTATAAAACTTTCCACATTTTTGTTATTAATTATATGTCTACTATAGACATTAATAAATTGGTTGATGTTTAAATCCTCTTCATTTATCAACCATTTTTATGTGCTTGGCTCGAGTGTCAACAATGGTTTCATTATTAAAATGCCACACAAAGGCTGTCAGCATTTTAAAATCCAGGCAGCTAAATTACTTTATTATTAAAATCCTTATAAAAAAATAAACATATCTTTACCTGTTCAGCTCTTGGCATAAAATCTAATGGGGGAGGGGCTGCTCCTCCTTCACTGTGTTTGACTCTGTCATGAACATGATCCCCAGCTTTATTCTCCTTATTTAAGACATCACCTACACCATAATCTGGCTGGTTTCCAACATTCATGCTATTATCAGCAACTTTATCATCTCCAACAGAGTTGTAAGCTATACCCTTTTGTTCTAAAACTTTAGGAGAAGGATATTTTATAAGTTTATTTCCTTGCTGGTTTTCAACTGGTTCTATTTTTCTTTCTTTGTTGTCTGGTTCAAATGATAATTTCTGACTTTCTGCAACATCACCAAGCTGATTGTCTGGAAAAAGTTTGTAGTCTTCTTTAAAAGCATAATTCTGTTGATTGCCTTCCATGTTCACCTAAAATTGAAAACACATTAAAATTGTTTTCTTAAAAAAAAGCTCTCTGGTGTCCTGTGGTGAAATGTCATTCAAAAATCTTTGTTCATACAAAATTTTAAAATCTATAAATAAGTTTTATCATTAAAACCCCTGTTTATAAAACATTTCCAAGCATTACTTGACTTTACAGTGAAAATACCTTAAGATATAAAACCTTCACTCTTCACAACTCATGTGCATGAAATACTTATAGAGGCCATCTTCTTTATACATTTTTACAAATAAAAAGGACAGTGTTATTCTCTTTTTTTCTGGTCATAAATTGTTTTCAATTCAGCATAATCATTGAATTTGAATATATCTTTACAACAGTTTGGTTAAATAATGAGCATTATCTTGCCTGATATTAAGCCTAATTATAAATTTATTTCATATTTATTAAACGAATTAATAAGTTTTATTAACAAAGTCATGGAATCAATACAACTAACAGTGTCAGAAGAAACTGCAAGAAAATAAGTTTATACAATTATAAAGCTATTATATTTGTTCTCATCTTCATTATTAGAAAGCTTTTTTTGTCATCTTCATGATGACTCGGTAAATATTGTACATACCTCTTGTAACTCAGCATTTAAACAAATGTTGAAATATCCTAAGATTAAAATTTCATCAAAAAACAATCAATTGATAAAAATAAAAAAATACCAGTTCAAAATAAAAAAACCACTAAGTGAAATATTCACTGCAATTTCCAAACAGCATTACCTTTTGAAATGAATTAACCACATCTGAATAAATTTTATTTTAGAGTAATATAGTAACTTTGTAATTTGAGTAGTTGTGAAGTGTATTACTAGGAGTAACTTGTAGGTATAAAAGTTTTTTTTTAACTTTGTTGGATGGAGGGTTTGAACACCAGGAAGTCACTGTTGGCAAAAATCACAGAAACAGTGGATCCATTAAAAAAATTTTGTGAGAGTCAAGAATGAGTTATTTACAAAAACAAATAGTGATCATGTAATCAGAGTTGTTAAAAAGAGCAGTAGCTAATGATTAGCCCTATCTTTAATTCAGGTAGAAATATAGGAATTAGTTTTCATTGCCATTGCTTCTGAGATTGTAAATCAATTTTCTGCAATATAAATCACTCCAAGTTTGGCTAAATTGTCTATAATACTTTTCTCAACAGAATCACTATAGATATTTATGAGGAACATTTCAAACTAAACTGCTTAGGATCATCATTATCTTTGTGAATGTTGTAATTGTTCTTTGCCTTTTATGCTTTTAAATGCTTTGATAGACATTTCAAACTAAACTGCTTAGGATCATCATTATCTTTGTGAATGTTGTAATTGTTCTTTGCCTTTTATGCTTTTAAATGCTTTGATAGTATTACATATAGGAATTGGCTGCTTGTTTTAATTATAGTAAATGTACTAAGGCCATCTTCCAACCAGGACCAAATGGAAGACAAATGGCCAGAAGTACTCACTCCCAACTCTTGAGCTATGCTTTTACAAATAAATAGTGAAACTGATCGTCAGTTTATAATACTTCCACAGCTGATAGAGTGAGCATGTTGGCACTGGGTTTCAATCCCTTGACCCACAGATTGCAAATTAAGCACCTAACCATCAGGCCAGTTTTTAATGAATTGGGTTTTTTGGAGTTGACAGTTAAATTTGTTATCCAATTTAGATACCCCAGGTGTTAACTAAACATTTTCTTTTATCCATTTGTGATAGATACTCACCTGTTCACACAATCAGCTATCTTCCTCGTACATGTGCCAAAGAGATTTGCATGCTAATCCCCACTAATTTCATGTGATCTAGCATGAATTGCACTACTGCATGTTGACATAATCATGCAGCAAAGCCCTCCACCAATAGGAGGGTGATACACCTTCTTGCTCAATAACTCCCCCTATAAGTGCACCCAGCCACTTATGCCATGAAAAATATAGGAAATATAGGAATTGGGGTTTGAAAATATAGGAAATTCACAGGAAAATAGAGGAACATTTGAGGAAAACATAGGAATATCTGGAGGAAATACTGGGTATAATTGTCAAAATACAGTATCAAATAAGGCCAGTGTATCACATTTGAAATTAAATTATAAGAAGACAAAGAAAAATAATAGAAACAAATATTGTATGGTGACCTCCTCCACTCCTTATAGTCACTCATGCTACACCATTTTATTCACTTTAAAACAAATATGAAGGCTGACTACAAAAACATGTAAATAGATTCAAAATCTGTACCACCATACATGTTAATATTCTATTGGAATAAGCTAACAATCTGATGTGGTACAAATCATGTGCATGAGTCACACTTAGTTACTAATATATTTGTCATATCTAATACATGATGCAATAAATTTTTATTGGACTCAATTAAGCTATAGTAAAAAATATGTAAATTGTAACATTTAATGAGTAAATATTTAAACATTAACATAATATCCTTAATCTCAGTTGTCTAAGCAAATATCAGAGATACTTAAATACAACTAATACAATTTCTTTTCATAGCACATGCCATAGCACTAGAACAACATAAAAAATGAAACTACAAAAAGTTAATCTGAATTAAATAAACTTTATAACACAGACTTATCACTGCAACAGTCTCTGAACATAAGGTACTGCACATTTGTCTATAGGCTACTTACTCTGGAGCTCACCATTAACTATAATCTTCTTCTAAATCTACTTAAGTAATTTTGCATAGAGTATTCTACATGCTAACAAATATTCTTACTTATATATGTTGTTTTTTTGCTGGCAAATCCAGATCCTTTACTAATGTATCAAAAAATTTTTGTTTTGTTTTTGCCAGGGTTTGTCTTGATTCCATTGTTGACTTAAGGACTTTTGACATCTCTTTGCATTTCTTCTGACCTGCCTCGATCATTGCATGAGCCACACCAGCAAAATCTTTTTCCTTGATAGCCTTAGCCAATTTGTCATTCCCTTCATTTAAAATCTTCTCACCCACACTTAATGAATCCTTTGCTTCTTTTTCTTTGGCACACAATTTGTCTTCTTCTTGAGAAAGTTCAGCATTGTCTTTTACCAACTCTTGTTTTTGTTCCTTCCTCTTATCTTCCTCCTCCTTTTAACCTTTCTGCCTAAGCTTTTGACTCTTTGGTCAGTTGCCCAGTTTTATCTTTTTCTACTTTCCTTACTTCCAATCTTTGTTCATAGACAGTGCAAGCACCCTTGACAGCAAGCAAAAGCTTTTTAGTAATTGACACATATTCTGGCCTTCCCATTTATGGATCAAAGAAACTCACAGCATCTTTAGCTATCCTAACAGCATTGACAGTTTCTGCACTCATCAATGCTCTTTTGGTGGTCACCAAATGCTTATTCACAGAGAATTTCCTCTCTACATCTGCATTTCCATGAGCTAGAATTAGTGAAGATTCCACAACCTTTCCCAGCTTGGAGTATTTAGGTTTTCCATCAATTCTAATCAGTGCAAGAACATCCCTCCAGTAATGATTGATACGTGCCTCACCCACATTTTCTGAATGGTCCTGCATATTGGCCTTCTCAGCTAAGCACAGATTACATTCATCAAGTACTTGCACAATCTCTGTTTCACTGATTGGGAAGCTTTTTTGCCAGCCTCTTGATGGAATTAACTGTTCCAGTTTTCATTGGATTCAGGCATCCATGTACTTCAAGATACTTTCTGAAACAGACAGATGGTTAATTAGGTAGGTGACAGCAGATGAATAAAAGGCATGCATTTCTAGCAATATCTTATGCTTGCCACTGCTGGACACCTTTTGCATGGCTTTTCTAGTTGGTTCACCAACAATCACATGTTCATCATCCATCTGGTTCTTAACATCTGAATGCTTGACCTCACACAAATTACTGCCTTCCTTTGTTCCAACTACCTCTGGCTTTACATTCCACAACATAAGCCTCCTAAGTAGTTCACTGAGTTTATCATACAGAATGTGAATTTGTGGACTTTGTAATTGGAAATACTCCAGGAATGAGTGGAAGAGTGGAGCCATTGCCTGGATGAAGTAAAGCAAAGTCAGGCTTTCCATACTTTTCAGCTTGAATAAGATCCTCCTAAAAGCTGCACTCTTGGGGGCATTTGATCTTTTCTCTTCCTCTTTCATATACTTATCAATGACCTCCCACTGTTCAAGAATTCTATCCACAACAGGTGACAAAGTAAGCCACCTAGATGACACATTGCGTTGAAACGTGCTCTTCAACACCAATGTCAACTTGCACATTGTTATAATCCTCCTTCCTTGCTGCAGACTGCTTAAGGAAGGTAAACAGGTCAATTACCAATTCATCAATGTCTTGTGAAAGAGTTCCCTTTGCCTGTCCATCCTCATTGTGGACAGTGTGAATATAGCGGGAACCAATGTCTACCAGACCAAGATGGCCACTTTCTAGAAGAGAAGGGCTAATTGTTCTCCAGATTGTTTTATTGACATTTGGTCCATCACTGCACAGTGCCACAAGAAGATTTACATTTAGTTTATTGTCACTGACAGACTTAAGGATGGCCTGGGCTACATCTTTCCCTTTGGCATGACCAAACATAAAGCATTTATAGAAACAAACTTGGACTTCATTCTTAAGTGGTGACCAGTATCTGATGTGCAAATCAAGCTGTTTCTTCCCTTGAGCTGTTGTTGCTTCATCAAAATGAAGTGTGATGTTGTATTGGAATCATTTACATCAGCAACCAATGCTTCAGTAAA